TTTTCTTGAAGACTGAAAAGGATTGATCTGTGGCACACAGAGGGATTGATTCTTGCATGGTGTTTCAATCAGATGATTTGTACACGAAAATGTTATCAAAATGCTTAAAATCTGGAAGGGAAATAAGCCGTTATCTAAGCTTGATCAGTTTGTATACTTAGTATAATTGTGAACTCAGTTATTGCTCTCCTCCATTTTTTATTGTTGAGGAGGATTTGCCAAGGCTGAAAAATAAATTAATCCAACTTTCTAATAAAACCATACTTTGAAGAAGATCATTGACTGTGCACTGACTGTTCATTGATATACCTATGTCTTTCTCATACTTTTTCTTCACATTAACAAAACGAAAGTGTTTAAAAACCCACATGAATGTTCACAAAGCACTTGTTACTAGGCCGCCGACTGAAAATGTTAGTTTCATCTTTGCACAAGGTGAGAAGAAGAAATTAAACTCTTCCTGAAATGCTGAAAAATATTCTATCTTCAAAAATATTCATAGTGAAAGCAGTTAAAATACATAAATATGTTCTCGTTACTACTTTTTCATATTTTGAATGTACTATTTTAAATGTAATTCTTGCCATTACTGGACAGATGATGTTATATGACTGAATCAGAATTTGTGGAGGACAAGCTTTTCTCAGTAACTCTTAACAGAAGAAGTTTCAGAGCACCTGAAATAATGAAAAAGATTCACTGAATGCAGATGACAGCTTTCATCTTCCTTTATGAAGCACATGCTCATGAATATATACATTTTTGCATATGTTGAAGCTCTAGTGTATCCGTCTTCCGATGAGTGAAAGAATAAGGAAATTATGTATTCAGAACTAGATAGAAGTTTGCTTTTTTGTTGAATTCTCCAATTTAATTGAAATTGCTTTCCTGAGATGGAACATTTCTAAGAGGCTGCCAGATTCGAGAAGGGGGTAGTGTTATCCCCATCTCCTTCCGTCGAAAGGTTTTGTCCTGTTTTAAATACCAGTGTTGGTTTTGATGATATTAACAGCCTTTTGGCAGTTCAATGCTGTCTGTCTGCTCAGTCTGTCCATCTAAAGTAGCAGAGAAGAAGCTGATCTCCTAAGGGAACTCCAACAATATCGACAGGCTTGATTGACATAAAACCAGTCTCTTTTTCACCTCCACTGAACTCTTAGAGTAAATTCAGGGCCTGATTGAAGATAGATAGGGTTTTAGTCATTGGCTCCCATGGGAAGAGAATCTGAACTCTAGCAATTACTGCCCTCTCCTAAAGCAGCCCTGCATGTCTTGGCAAACGGTATTTAGAAGCACTATCAATTTGATCCCACTTGCCTCTCAGGACAGAAAGGCAAGTTCAGGGCTATTTATGTCTTATTAACTAAAGCAAGCTTTGAATGGGAACCACAGCAAGCATTGAAATCTTCTCCTTGAAAAATGGGTTATGGCTTAATGAACCTTGTTCAGGTTAAAACTGTTATTTATTCTTGATATTTGTATTTGTTACTGTCAGGTAGAAGTCAAAGAAAGAACAGTGCCTTCTATCTTGAAGAGTTTATTAGGGTGGAATAGCTGGAAATTTGTCTCAGGTGAATCAATTCTCACTTTTCTGACAGGAAAATACTAACAGTATATTTTCCAGATATGCTTTAAAATACCACATATGCACAAAACTTTGAGGATGTCAAGAACCATACAAAATGATGTGCTTAACAGTTTAAAATATGAACATCTACAGATATCCAAATTACATTTTCTATTAAGTCATCAGTACAAAAGGTGAGAGAAGAGACGGGGACACAGGGATTTATTTTCAGTCAGTGTGTTCATACAGAGGAAAAGGAGAAAAGTAAAAATTCAGTCCATGAATTGAAGAGTTTCTGTCTGGAATGGAAGAGAGTAAAATCAGAAAAAGTTTAAAAGATTCCTCTTTTCCCTTCCTCCCCTCCTGAAGTATTTGGGGGTAAAATATCCCACTTCTGCTGCAACACTTTGGTATCATTCACATAATGTTAATACTGTTCGATTAATTCCTAAATATTTTAATTTTGAAGTGCTAACCATAGGACCAAAGTGTGATGGTTTTATTGTCTCACATAAGTTTATTATTTTAAAGCATTTCTGACATTTCATGAAACCATTAAAATAGAATTCTACTTAGAGTTTTGCTGATACAGAGGAAAGCAATATGCTCTTTCCCATATCTTGTGTTGTGATGTATTTGGTTAGTAATATTGATGGTACTAATGCCGAATATTCATATGCATCTGATCTTGCAAAGCCTAGAGCACCTTTCTTACAAGGGACTTCAAGAGGACTGAAGTAAACCAGAGATTTGTGTTCTTTTGTGCACTTAGAGCATCATGTCTGAACTCCTAAGACTCTGTTGAACTCTACCTTCTGTCCTAAAAGAAGAGAGATTATTAAACTGATTTTTTTATATTCTGAGATTGATTGCCAGAGTTGTTTCCAGGTGTAAAGCATTAAGATATACACCACTTCAGGGCTAACAAGATAGTTTTCTTTCTTGCTGGATGTAGTATGCCACGTGCCTGTATTAAAACAAACAAACAAACGAACAAACAAACAAACAAACAAACAAACCCAGACAACCCAAACCTGTCTTATCTGGACTCTCTTCTCCTGTCAGAACATTTTCTTTTGGTCTTTTTGCTTATGTTAATGTTGACCAACACAAATCAACTTTTTCCCCAGAATTCTTCTCCTTTTGCCATAGAAGAATATAACCTCACATGCAGAAACTTGCCTGTGAAGGGCATGGTACCACTGTCTTTTTCTGTCTTCTTCCCTGCCTCCTGAAAAGTCTGTACAATGTTCTTCACGTTTTTTTTCTAGATGGAGGGGATAAAGTTGTTTGGCAGCTCTGTTCAATCTCTGTCAACTTTAGGAAGCCTCAGGTTAACAAAGAAGAGGTTGTCAGATGGTAATGCTGTAGATTGGGAATTCCAGAAATGGCAACAGCTTCCTCTTTGTGGTTGGCTAATATACAGAGAGAATATGTAGTAAACCATATGATTGCCTATCTTACTCAACCACATCATAGTATATGGGCTAATACCACGTATGTACGTTAGAAGATGATCATGGCATGTGTAAAATATCCAAGGTGCAGATTGTTTTTATGTGCTACTCCTAATGGTATCATATGTTGCTTGATAGTTCTTCAGTGCATAAAACAAAAAAAGTTTTCAAGCTTCAGTTGTGATGTTTAATAGGTCTTTCTTTAATGCTGGCTTAGCACCTGCTCCTTCCTCACAGTCACATCAAAGTGAATTGTAAGTAAGCACTCCGAAATCATGCAGCATCACACTGTGGAGTAAAAGTGGTGAAAATGCAGGGCAATCAGCTCTGTAAAATCTCTCCATCTGCAGAAAGACTCTCCATAGCCACCTGGATGCTTTTAAAACTTCATTATTTTAAATTTAAAATGGTTGGCTGAGCATTGCTTCTACCAAAATCTGATACAGTAATCGAAGTCAGAGGTGGGGAAGGACCTCTAGGGTCACACCTTGGAGCTTTCTGCCAGTAATGGATTGTTCCCTGCAGTTCAGTTTCTAGTGACCTTGGAAATTACTAGCCTGGTAAAATGGTAATGAAAAAACAAAGCTGTTAAAGCTTCAGAAGTAGCCAAAGCGATGCTGTCCCAATAAGAAATTGTGGGTTTGATGTGAGATTCTCTATGTGCATTCCTCCTTGGTTGCAGTTTTCAAGTGGTCAGATTTTAATCTACACTTTCTGACTCATTTTGATCTTGTTGTAACTAAGAGGTTGAGGGAGATGAGCTTTTTTTAGTATTATATGAGCATATCCTTTAACCAAGTCTTATTTTTTGTTACAAATAAGTCAGTCAGTAACTTGACCAACCCCCCTAACATTTCTTTCCTGTCCCTGCACTTTATTCTTTCAACATTTCTAGCCTTCCAGAACCAGGAAACAAGGAATAAAAAAACACATTTCTTGTTTTTTACAATCAAACACCTTGGTTAATTAATTAGAGTATCTGCTTCTCACGCCTGGGAACCCAAAAGTTCCTGAAAAGATTTAGAGGTGACACATAATTTTTAGATTTCTTTCAACCAAGCCAATACTGGTTTACTTCTCTGCTGATATAGACAATAAAAGCTAATCCTGACATACACTTAATTTGGTCCTTCTTTTAAGGATACAGCAAAGGCAAGCTCCCAGCAGCAAGCTGATTACAGTTTTGGCTGAAAACTATTTTAGGAGGCTGTTAAAAGCTGGGTAGATGGGAAAAGATCCCAAGACACAGACTTCCCTTCCTGTTATACCCATTTGATGTGTGGTGGTTTCTGCACTAGAGGGCCCTGTTGTAAACAGTCTTTTGGGGTGTGCAGCTCTGTGGAGATCCTTTATTCCCAGGGCTCCAGCCCCCCTGAATATTGTATTCACACACACCAGGTCTCAGTTGGAAAGGAAACAGGTTTTCTCAGCTGCCAACTTGCTTAAAAGAGGAGTTACGAGGAAAAGAAAGCTAATTGGACTGTGCTTGGCAAAAGTCTCTAGTTTATTCTGTTTATTCAGATTTTAAAAGGATTGGATGCTGAGAAACACAGAAATAGTGAGAGCACTTATTCCTTAAACAGATTCTTGCAAAGTTTTTACAATAAAAACAGAAAGCTGCTTTAGTAAAACAGTGTTTATCCTTGCGCTAATGCTGGTCATGAATACATGTCTAACTTAGCTGGAACTATTGCCTGACTTTACTATTGCACTATAGCAACTTAATATTCTGCGTAGGCTGATTATTTTTTTCAACAATATCTGCTAAATTCTTTTAAGGGCTGCCAGTATATATTTTTTGAAGCTTAGTTAATAAGAACAGCTGCCAGTGGATTCAAGGCTAAAAGAGGCAAAAAATATCTGCAGAAGGCAAGATTTTGCTTCAAAAGATCAGTATGACAAAGCACTACTGTTGCTGGTATAATCACTTTCTTTGGGTGGGATGCTAATATAGACTGGGTTTCTTGTCTTTGCAGCCCCCACTGAGCCTTTGCTGTGCAAATTTGCTGATGGAGGGCAAAAGAAGCGACAGAATCAAAGCAAATACACACAGAATGGAAGGCCGTGGCCCAGAGAAGGAGAGGTAAGTGCCACACAACGATTACTTCCCTGGGGTTTGGCAGAAGTCAGTTGCAGACCTGGAGATCTACCTTTCAGGGCTACGAAGAAATCAGATTGCACACAAAATACATTGGTTTCTTGTAGAAAAAAGTAAATAAGCAGGGAGGCTCATAATAATGTGCTGAGTGTAAAGTTACAGGAAAACAGAATTTTAGAGCTAGGTGTGGAACTGTGCACAGCCTGGTCCCACTGTGAGTGCCCTGTCTGCACCCAGACCTGAGTCCAGTATTCTCTTACTGGTGTGACATCAGCACCCATGGTATACCTTTTATAAACCTCAAATCAATTTACACTTAAGCAACTCAATCTTATTTCCTCCATGTAGTTCTTTGTATTAAAACATCATCAGAGAATAGGTGGGTTATTACAAAAGGGAGAGACGCATTTACACATCCAAATGTATGGTCAATGTAAAAGTTTTCCAAAAAGCTTATCTGACCTGGGCTCTTTGTTTTGCCCAAGACAAAACAGTTTACAGTAGCCTCAGCTCCATCATCTGTACAAAGTTAAAAAATACCCAAGCCTCTAACAGCTGCTTTCAGCTCTGCTGCAAGTAGGCTGTTACTAGAGCTTCCTTTCTGTGTACTTGCATATGAAGTGACGCCAAATGTGGGTGAAATAAGAAAGGAATTTATTTGACTCTTGAATAGTTTGTTTACTCTTCTTGAATGTTATAATAGAATAAAACCACTTGAATAAATGAGGTAAATCTGGTCATAAAACCATCTTAGGCATGATTATAGCTATGAAGGCTGAAGGACTTATGAGCATTTCTATCCTAAACATCTATTCTTTGTGTTTATAGTTTATATTCAGGGGAAAAGAAAGTATATTGCTCAGTTCTGACCCACTAGAATATGAGTTGGTGGGGTTTTTTTACTTTGTTGTTGTTGTTGTTAATGCTTGTTTTTTTTGGTTGGTTTGGTGTGGTTTGGGTTTTTTTGTGGGATTAGCTGTATTTATTTCAATTTTACAAAGCAAATAAACAAGAAAACTATTTGTTATTTCTAAGTTACATGTTTCTTGAGGGCTTCTGCTTTTTTGTAACTACTTAATTTTTCTAGCTGAGGCTTTTCAGACCATTAACTTATGACATATATACTCTAACATGATTGGTGTCCACCTAAACAATAATCGCCTCTTGAAAGCATAGAAGTTTCTCCCTCCAGCAAGGTGGTTATTGTACACTGTTCCATCAGCAGTGCCCCAAATATTTTTAGCTTTGTAGGCTGAAGGTGCCAGTGTGGTAGCCACATTTGCTACAATCTGTTGCAAAAGTCTCCAAAGGTTCATTGCGTTCTCTCATGTCATATATCTCAAAAAATGGAGACATCTTCTTAGGTGCCATTATGGTTTGTTATGTTATGGATCTGTTGTGGAACAAGTGCCCAAGAAGTACTTCAAGCAGTAGACTCAGGTCGTCATATACAGAGCTTGAGAAACAAAGGTCTGTATATAGGAGACAATAATAAGCCCTCAGTAATGTCAACAGTCAGTATTTTAAAGATTTCTAAATCCCTGTTTAAATAGCAAATGCCACCATAGCTATTATCTCAACTTTCTACACTTGCTTCAATTCAATAAGCAAGAGAATATAAAGTTAAAGCAAATAAGACACCATTATGCTCCTGGCCTCATGGCATCAGCTTATTACATTGTGCATAGTTCATTTGCTGCTAGTGGAGTGGCTCATGTCAAGCATAGTAACCCTGTGACCTAAAGGCAGGGTGTGGCTGGTGTGTTTATTGTATCAACATTTAAAAAGTAGTTTTCAGTGCTTGGGGACACCATTCCTTATTGCTGTTTATAGTGAATTACAGAGCTGTTGTCATGGTATAATCTACAAATGTGGAAAGATCATGAAGATACAAACTCAGAAGTATTTCAGGCTAGGAATAAGCTCTGTTTTTTTAGATTTTCTTAGATTTTCTGTTTACTAACATCTCCGTAATACTTTGCTGTACATTGGATATTTAGTACTAAAAGCATCAAAGATGAGAATGCACGTTCTATTTTAGGGTCACTCATTTATTGGATTTCTTCCCCACCATTATTAATTTTCTTCTTTCCAATGTAAAATCCTCCTGTGTAATTACTCTTCTATTTTATATATAGCAGAGTTTGTCTAACTCTTTGTCCTTTAATGATCTTACTCTAAACATGGTGCACTGTTCAGTTATTCTCTAGGTAGCAGCACTCAGGTAACTTCCTTACAATTACTCCTGACAGCTTTAATTTCTTCAGAAAAGAACAGTTAGCAAGTGGTGAGAAATGACTGATATACAACTAGCATCACAGTTCTGATTACAAATGGGATCTGGAAATGTTCCCCACACTTCAGGCTTTTCTTGGTCTCTTCCCCAAAGAAAAGCATTAAAATTAATTTAAAATTAGTTTAAATTTAATTTAGTGCATGAAAAAACACTAAAAAGGCATTAAAATAGTGTCTGAGGTGTTGCACCCACAGCATTTCCACCCTAGACAAATCCTATAGTATCTAGACCAAGAAGTATTTGGCTATTGTTAAGATAAGCCTTTGCATCCTTGAACACTTATATGAAGGGCATTTCTAAAACTTCTGAGGTTTACCAACATTAACACTGGGTGTGCATAAGGATTATTGCTCAGCCAGAGCCCATAGAAATGGCATGAAGAGTTGTGTTGCTGGCCTGGAGTTTGAGCCTGCAAAGGGGAGGCAGGGGCTGTGCCCAGTGATGTGGCAGGAGGTGGAGTAAGGGGGAGCAGGTTTGCTGCAGTTTTACCTCTCTAGCCAAGCTGTTCTCAGAGGTTTTGCTCTCTTTTACAGAGAGCTTCTAGGGAATTTAGAAGAGCAGATTTCTTCTTTTTGGTAAAGTTTTCAGATCATACTGCAGAATACAACAGAGAATCTAGATTGCTTCATAGCCATATAGAAATACTTCAGTTCACTGGTAAATTGGTGTACCTTTACAGTCAAGTCTTCAGGAGTACACTGAATTTCTCTAGGGTGTTTCAGGGTGATTTTTTTTTTTTTTTGGTACATGGTTACTTGGCCACTTGTCACCAGGGAAGAATGCCTGACCTTGAATAGCATTTCATAGTCCTTACCCTTGCACTCTTATTTGAAGCCTCAGGAAATACTCAGGAGATTTACTGAGGCATTTGACTAAGGATTTGTGATGGCTGACCAGTTCTGGACTAAGGAGCTGAGACCTTAGGTTACTGATGGCTTTATAAAAGGCTGTCAAATTAGTCATCTAACATAGAGGTGCCAATGTTGGAAATATTTGCAGTGAAATTCTGACCTAATAACTGAGACAATTTCTGCGCAAAGTTCCATTTGGCTTTGTCTTTTTTTTTTTTTTTACCATAGTTTTCCCGAGTCATGCTGGTTTAAGTCAGCACCCTGTTTTGAAACTTTCCCTGACAAGATCATATTGAGATGGTGGTGGAGGGTAAACATATTCAAATTTTGTCCACAAAATATTTGATTTAGTTTACCTCTAAATAGCAATTGACAAGTCTAGAGGTGGGAGGCATATCTCAAAAAAAATATTCATATAGCTGAAAATGCATCTGGAGATTAAAGAGTAGCCTGAAATTATGATCAGACTGGATTAAAACTGCAACTTAAATTTTTCAACATAATCTGTTATTGCAGATTTACTTACTGAAACTTTGTTTTGGTTATTCAGAAATAAAATAGTTATATATGTGTATTTAAGAGAGTGTTTATTTTAATTTATCTGGTAGAAAGGGAGAAATCTCTCATGGATTGAAAGCAAATTAAATTCTTTGCATCAGCCCAAAGTTTATTGTTGTTTATGTTCTGCTAGGAAGAACAGTTCTGGAAATAGTAGCCTTTCTATATCTGGTCATCCCAAAGTAATTAAGTTTGGGGTTTTTTTACAGTTACAATATTTTGAAACGGTTGATACTTCATTTGCAAGTTTCTGTAAAATGTAGACCGTTTAAATATTTGCATTGCCTTTCTTGCAAGAGAACTATCACCATTACAGTATTGGTGCATATATCACAACAGCGACATGAACCACTGAATGGCATTGAATTTAGTCATTGTCAATTGCCATTACATTTGCTATTTAATAATTGCTACCCATAATTCTTCTATTGATTGCTTTCTTGATTCTGTAATCTGGATTACTTTTTTGTTTCTAAATAGCCAAGAGATTAACCTCTGTTTCCACCCCCTCCCTCTCTTCCTCCTTTCCCTCTTTCTCCTTTGTTTTCTTTCAAGAACAGTTGGTGAAATGTCTGAAGAATTAAATACATCTTTAATTCTTTCTTAAAAAAAAAAAAAAAATGACATGACCTAGTAGTTTGGGAATGTGTTTTTTGTTAACTATTTCTTTTTTTTATCTGCTCCTCATTACAATTTTGTTTAATGAAAACAGTAATTTAAAGAGAAAAACATACAATAGGTAATTTGAGAGACTTCCAAATTTTTGTGTAAAGTCAGTACCAACGAAGGGATGAAGCAGCTGATCCTGGGGCCGGTCATCCCTTCTTTACCAGCAGCAGGCATTTAGAAATGAATAGTAGTTGTGTGCCAGGCCCATTTATAACTCAGACTTTCTGTGCTTCCAAGGAGATTGGTACATCTTAGTTGTGTTTCATAATACTCAGTGTCTAGGGCTTACATATTTTATACCTAGATAAATATTTTTTTTCTTTTCTGTGAGAGACAGTTTCTAGCCTGTCCAGATATGCAGTAGTACCCTCATATGCAAACTACACATAAAGACATTTGCTCTATGCTTAGTGTGCGTGTAAGTTAGACATTGGTCAGTATTTTGCATTATTATTTTCAGCAAAAGCTTAGTTGAGCAAAGAGAGGAACTGAAGAGAAGCCTACGTGGAGGGAGAAAGTAGAAGGGCAAAATGTAACTGGCAAATAAGTGAAAAGACACAGAGCAATGAGTTAAAAATCTTCATAACACAAGACGCTGTCATTGTGGATAA